GGCACACCTTACACTATGTCACGGCACACTAGTGTGCCGCGGCACAGTGGTTGAAAAACACTGGTTTAGCTCATCCCTTCACCAAAGGCATTGTAGTCAATGAGTCAATTGCAGCTTTCAAATAAACTATGGGTCAAACCACCTGGGCCTTGGTGACAGATGAATCCAGACAATTCCATAGATGGTCACTTGCTGCTTCAAAGGGAATGCATGGTCCTCCAGAAATATTCCTGAACTTGTGAGCTACTTCATCTTCTTAAGAATCATTCTGTTTATTGATCCTTGTATAGCCAAACACCTTTTCAACATCTATCACTTTCACATGCCTTCAAGTCATTGTTGACACCTGGCAATTGCCAGGACTAGTGTTTGCAGGTTTCTTGGCAAGATTTCAGAAGCGGTTTGCCATTGCCTGCTTCCTAGGGCTAAGAAAATATGATTGGCTCAAGGTCACCCATCTGGCTTCATACCTAAGGTGAGACTAGAATGCATGGTCTTATGGTTTTTAACTCAGTGCCTTAATCATGACACCAATCTGGTACTCTAGTCTCATATTAATACCCACTAACCTACAGGTAGGCGGTGCAGACTAGTGCTGCCTACTCTATCCTCAGACACAATTGTAATTAAAAGATTCTTTAGGAAGATGGAAAATAAAGATAAATTCCTGTTAATAAGTCTAGAGAAGTAAGTTGTAACAAAACCCAGGATCTTATATTTGGTTCAGAACAGTGCCCTATAGTTTAAAAAAAATCTTATAATTCAGTTTTTTTTAAAAAGGCTAAAAATTATGCATTTGAATATTTCTTCCTCTCCGCCTCCCTTAATTTCTTTAGTCTCAACAACATTCATAGAAATGGTTTATTTGTGTGTGAAAACCATGCAGAAAATCTTCCTTATTGAGAAAAGAGAGACAATCTACTTAGCTAATGTCATACCTTATCCCAACTATGGCCTATTTCTTATTTCATTGTTGATACCCTTTTAGTTCACTACTGAGAACAGAAATCCATGAAATATTATTAGTTTCACTGGATCCTTGCATTTTTTTTTGCTGGAAAAGCTGAGAGCATTGGTTCTAACAGTACATTCCATTAGCCTTTCTTTTTTGCTGTCACCGTGTCTATCCAGATTTCTGTTCAAAAGGATTAGTCCATTTAGAAAGAACTTTGAATATCAGTGGTTGACCTTTTTCTTTGTAAATGGAATCATTGTTGGTTTTCTTATTGCCTAGGAATTAAATTGGATATGGAAAATGAGATTTAAAGAGCAATCAAGGTTTCCTTAGAAAGTGCAATGATCATGATAGGAGTGGTCCTTCTCTAGTGCTGTTGACAAGCTTATTGTCCTCAGTAATTTAAAATGAAATAAAAACTTTATTAAAGCATTATTTTAGTTTCCCTTCGAAGGCTAAGAAATAATTAACCTAAATATCTTCATCAGTTGATGAGGTGTATTGCTGTGGTCCAGCAATACTTTGATATGTACCTTGCAGGAGTAGAAAGTGAAAGTCAGAATATTTTGTATCTTTCTTGAGAAACTTCAAATCCCTTGGATTCCAAATGTTAGGGACAAGATAGAATGGAAGTAAATTGAACAAAGGTGTGTCAATGAAGATGTGTCAGTTTCTTTTGTGTCTATATTTATATTGTGCAGTGATATCGTTATTTTGCTTTCTTTGTCTTCTTGCCCAGAATGTCTGCAGAACTGTCTTTGCTCATCAACATAAAAGAGCCACGATGGGATCAAAGCACCTTCATGGGAAGAGCAAAGCATTTCTTCACAGTGACGAATCCCTGCAACCTTCTGCTTTCTAGCAAGGCCCTGGAAGATGCCCAAAGAGTGATACAGAATTACAGGTTTTTTTGGAAAGTTGATGGGAAGCAGTTATAATGACAGCAGGGAATCCTAATAACTTGGTCCAAGTTGTTTAAAACAGTGGTCCCCAACCTTTTTATCGCCGCGGACCAGTCAGCCTTTGATAATTTTACCGTGGCCCGCTGAGCGCGCGCAGGGGT